AAAAAAAAAATACATGCATGTGAATATATATCAGAAAGAATGAGATAAAGTAAGAGTGGCAAAATGTTAACATAACTAATAAATGAGGCAACAAAAATATGGATATTCACTGCATTATTTCTCTAAATTTTAAGTCTGCAATATTTTTTAAAAACATTGGAGGATGGAAGGAACATAAATGTACACATTTTCTTTGACACAAATACATGACACTAGTTTATGGAAGGATACCTAAAAACAGCAATGGGGAGGGAACTAGAAGGAAGAAAGGGAATAGGGTAAGGGAAGAAAGGTGTGGGTAGGAGATTCTTTATTGTATTTTAAATTTTATTCAACCATGAAATACTTTAAATATTTAAGAAATTAAATTAAATTAAAACAAAGTTCCAGCAAAAGTACTGAATTTGCTATGATAAGATCATATTGGTTTTCTTATAAAGTTCCCAGAAAATATTTTAGCAGGAAGAATTACCCAAATATTCAATATCTATGATTTTCTTTTTTTCCCTGTGGTGAAGGGTGTATCAAAACCACTGAGCTGAGCCAGGGGCAGTTGTGCACACCAATAATCCAAGAGATGGGAGGCTGAGGCAGGGAGATTGTAAGTTCAAGGCCAGTCTGGGCAACTTAGTGAGACCTTATAAAGAATAAATAGGGATTGGGGATGTACTTCAGTAGTAGTAAAGCACCCCTGGATTCAATCCCTGGTATGGGAAAAATAAATCACTAAGCTGGCAGCAAGGGGGAGCCATCCACCCCAAGTGAGAATGCCCTCACTAGTTGAAAATCACTGATCATAAAGAAAAGTATTCCTGGTAAAAATGTATATGGATGATGTATATGAATGTGTAGAAGAGAAAAGAGACTGAAAATATACACAAAATGACAGAAGCTTGGCCCATCATACTGCTATATTATACCACTTCAAGTCAAAGCACTCATATCCTTCTTGTCAATTGTTTCATGGGAACTGATTGCTAGGAAAAGAAAGTGCTTTGTTCCTAATACCTACCTGAGGGCCCGACGCTCTGGATAATCAAGGTCATAACTCTGTATAGAGTCATTGCAAGAATCCCGGGAACTGCCCTGAAGCAGTAGCTGATGTGGCAATCGCACAGGCACAGGAAACTGGTGCACAGAAGCATTGGGCTGGGAAGTCGTATGGTAAGGAGGTGGGATGCTATTGCTGGTTTCACTGCGATAGTCACTGTCACGGTCATCGACGGCACTATCAGGGTCTTCAAAGGCTGTGGAATAAGCACAGTCAGTCCAAGAACTCCAGCTTTATTTAGTTCTTCAGAACTTTTTCTGCTCTAACATTGATAACCACAAGTCTGAACCTTTAAAACGAGAACAAGCTGAGCTACATATGAGCCCAGTGACCTCAAAAACATATGTGGAAGAATCTCAATTAATATCCACAAGCTCTATCAAATAAGATAAAACACCTGGTTTAATTTTGGTTTAATTTTAGTTCTGATTCTCAGAAGTGCTCCAAGTTGCATTTTTCCAGGGCAGAATTTTCTAGAATTCTGCTACTTTAGTTTTAATAATCCTAATTAAAATCTGTTTTTAAATGTCACAAATAGATTTTGGTCCTCTATTGTTATCAAAGGGGAAAAACAGCATTTCCATATCTTAGAAAAGATAAATTTTAATTTAAAGTTAGACTGTTTTTTTTTCAGACTTTAAAATGCATGGGCTAAACCAAAAAAGCAGATCAACCATGAGGAGCTGGTCAAAGCCAAGGCTTAGAAATCAAGCCAAAGGCTCTAGACTAGACGCAGCTGAGAACAGCAGCAGACTTACTGTCTGGATGTCATGGCAAGTTTTTCTAACAATTCCTGTTAAGTACCTACACCCTGGGCTCAGAATTCCCATCCTGACCATGAGCTGAGAGAAGAAGAAAACATACACTACTCATGGGATATTGCTGATAATGCAGCCATTTTACTAAACAGCAGTGACTACAATTTTTCAGAATTTTATCTACTTTCCAGACCAGCTAAAGTGACCACCATTACAAATCAAAATGATGCTTGGAAAGGGAGCTCAACCCTTTCAAAAAAAGCAGTGTTTGGGGGCTGGGGTTGTAGCTCAGTGGTAGAACACTTGCTTAGCATATGAGAGGCATTGGGTTCAATCCTCAGCACCACATAAAAATAAATCAAATAAAGGTATTGTGTCCATCTACAACTAAAAATATTTTTAAAAGTAGTGTTTGTAAACTACTTTATAGAGAAGCCATATCTGACACCATATCCATATGTGTATGATTAACAAGGTCTCACATGTCCTTTCTTGCCAACTTCCTATTTGATTCTCAATGAGGAAAAGGAATATTCATCATCCTGAAAGAGAGATACTTTTAGCAGATGATGGACTCCTCACATTAGTAATTTTAAAAGACAGTCTGGGGGCTAGGATTGTGGCTCAGCAGTAGAATGCTCACCTAGCATGCACGAGACCCTGGGTTCAATCCTCAGCACCACATAAAAATAAATAAATAAAACAAAGGTATTGTGTCCAACTACAACTAAAAAAAATTTAAAAAAAGATAGTCTGGGTAGCAGTTTTGGCAGTAGAAGCCTCCTGAAGACCATAATATTAGGCTTTTACAATCACTGTAGCAGTAGACAAGGACTTGTATCCATGCAGTAGAAATGGAAAGGAGTTAATGAACTATATAAAAAAAATCCAGGCAGAACTGATAAAACTTGGGGGAAAATGGACAGTGATCCCTTGGCTTCTAAACTAAACCTAGTAGATAATAATTTCACTAAAAGAGACAGCACAAACATGGGGTTGTGTTTAAGCACTGGATTCTAGATCACATTTGTGGGTTCAGCTGGGGAATGGAGTAGAGGTTAAACTCCACTGGAGTTATAGCAACAAGGTGAGACCAAGGGTAGGCATAAGAGGAGATCATATCAGATTATTCCACTTGAGTTTATGGCACCAGGTGAGTATTTAAAAAGGAAAGGAGATCAATCAAGACCCAAGGCCAAAAAAAAAAAAAATCAGGATAAAGATGCTAAAATTCAAAGAGTCAGAAACAATTATTAGTAACACTTTCTGGTTAAAGTAGTCATCTGACAAGCAAGAGTATTGAAAACAAAGATAAACAACAAGAATGCAAAGCATTCTGGCTACAAAGCATTCTGAAGACACATTAGCAGAAACAGACTTTGGAGGCACTGGTTTTAACCCTTGATGAATTTCTTGTTCTCAAAATCAAAAAGAAAAAGGTCAAGAGACAAAAACAATATGCCATTCAGACTTAAGTCTTTCTGAACCCACAGAAGGAGCAGTAAGTCTGAAGAAGTCAGTGCTGGACTATTCATGCATTACAGATGTGGGAACAGAAACAACAAGAGGGAACAGAAACAACAAAGAAGACAAAACTGAAAGTCTTCTTAAATTCAGGCAAGAAATATATTAGCACTAAAGTCAGAAAATCAAGACTGAGTCTACAAAGAGGCAACAACAATAGATGATCCTATCAACCATAAGGCCAAAGAGATTAGCTCAGTCAGAATTAGGAATCCATGATCCAAAGCGAGAAACTACTTAGACAATTTATCACTCTATCTGATCTCCTAAATAATGCTCTGCTTTATTATTTTGCTAGGCTAAGGGGAGAATTACCCACCAACTTTTCTAAAGACGAACAACACTTCTATATTAAATAAATAAAGGGCAAATATTAAGGGGAAAAAAGTGCCTAGAAATAAAACAGGGACCTAGAGGATGCCTTTTGCTAAAAATAGTGACTCTTTACCAAGGCCAGCAGATGCCCTATGAGTAACCAAAACCAGGATAAAGCTTGGCATCTGACTTCATTTTGTATCAGTCTCCTTTATTACCATAAACTTTGAGTCATATCCCTGCTCAGCTTTTCACATATGCATGTTAATCATTTAAGAAGTATTCATCTAACAACTAGTAATACATGGTTTATTAACCCTAAATTTACCTGATATATCTTATTCCCCTTGAAGACTGAGGTATGATATTTATAGCATCCTGTTTCAGGTCCCTAGAGTGGTACCTAGAAGTCTCCAATCATCAATCCCTACCACAGGTCTGACAGACAAACATCCTGAGCAGCAAGGAGTAATTCCCCCTCAATTGATAGTCTTCTCTGGAGCTACTTCACAGAGGTCAGTCTACAGTTTGGCCAAGACTGATTAATTATGCATACCTACTGCTCCCTGCTCCAAGACTGATTAATTATGCATACCTACTGCTCCCTGCTCCAAGACTGATTAATTATGCATACCTACTGCTCCCTGCGCCAATTCTTCCTCTATCTGAACTTAAAGCTCCTACTGGCAACCTGAAGACAGGGCTGAGACAAAGATAGGGCTGAGATACTGGATCTCACTTTGCCTTCCCAATATGGTCCTACTGATTAAAGTTTCTTTTCCTGATTTTCACCATCACCTTTTCTGTTTAGTGGTTGGGGCAAGTGGCAGGCCATGGTTAATTGGGATCCTTGGGGTCAAGCTTCTGGCTAGGATGCAGGTCACAGCAAGAAAAGGTTAGAAGAAGAGAGAATATAAAAAACAGGAGAGTCAGGAGAAAGAAAATACAAAAAAAAAATGAGGTGAGACAAAAGAGAAAAACGGGAAAAAAGCAGGCAGAGGCAAAGGCCAGTTTATCTCCTCTCTACCACCCTCAATTTCCCTAGAAAGTAAATTTCCTGGCACAACCAAATCTAACTAGAAACTGAAAAAGGAAATTAAGGAAACTGTGTAACCCTTCAGTTTGAATAAAAGAACTGTTATTTTAGTGTGTCAGTCACCATCTCCTACTTAGCTCTACAATCTACTCCATAGTACCATGTTCACTAGGAAAACTCCAGGTTTTGCAGAGAAAAAGAAGCTGAGTACAGGTTTGGTTATTCAGCCTAAGGAAGGACCTGTGGCTAGTTAAATGGCAAACACTGAAAAACCCCTAGCAAAGACCATTTGAAGTATGGAAAATTTAAAAGATGGGGACATTTACTCATTCAAATATTGAGTGCCTACATGCAAGGTTAAACAGCAAAGAAGGTTCAGAATACAAGTCAAGTAATACAGGTATGAAAACATGAACAGAATGAATTGTTATACAAGGAAGTTACTACATAAGAGTAGCATAAATTAAGCACAATATCAATTGAAAACTTCCTGAGAGGGTGAGTAAGGAAAGCTTTATGGAGGAGACAGCTTTGAAGAACTTTGTGTTTTCAAAAGGTAAAGACTGAGGGGAAAATATATCTTCTGGATTCTGGATAAAAGCAATAGCATGATTAAAGGCCCAAACAGGAGAGAGGCCATACATTTTTTAGAAATATTTTGTTAGCTAGCTTGGGAGCTACATAAAAGGAAATGTACAGGAATGATAGAAAATAAGCCTGGAAAAGTTGGCTGGGGAAAGTAATCTAACTTGGGGCAAATGAGGCTCTCTGGTATTTAGTG